ATATCCATCTGGGCTGAAATACATATATCACACTGATGTTCTGTTAGCACAACAGGCTCAATAAAATGTGAGTGTGACCTTTGGACAATATATATTTATATTTTATTATGAAGAACTATTGTGTTGCCCTCTTTTATCCCTTTTATGTCTCCAGGAACATCATCTTAAGAATTTTTTTATGAGTATATTTATTGTTTTTTCATTCCACACTCTTCACCTATGTTATGATACATACTATCACAAGTGTGGTTATAGCAGATTAATTACAATACCCACATTTGCCATTTATGCGCTGTTCACTTTTTCATGTTCTGCATTATTCAAACTCAACTTGACAGTTCGCAAACACATCAAATCCCCAACCTTCAAAAGGCACGTTTACTGGTCAGAGCTGGTTGCTGACACAAGCTGCCCTATCCACAAACACACTAAAAGCATAACAGATCTCTGACTATTTTCACAGTTTCATATACAACTTTCAGATTATCGAAATTGATTCCATCAAGACGAAGGTGGTGTTCACTTCTTTTTGCCACCTGAATCTAAACTATCACATAATACTATAAACTTTATCTGACAGACATTCCACATCATTTACTTCCTACTTTCCTAATCTCAACATACTAGTATCATACCCTAGTAAGTATTCTTAACACCCAAACAACAACGATTGACATGCATAATTCAGTACGCTTTCAGATATTAGATGGTATTTGTTTGAAACTCACACTATTACCGCAACTAAGGCAGCTATTACAGTTCCTCACTGTCACGGTTCTTGCCGCATCAAACAAACAGCTAGACGTGGTCACCCGTGGAGATCCCAACAAGGGACTTGAACCGGGGAACTTCGCAGTCCTGGTCCTGCTTCCTACCTCTGAGCCACAGCAGCTTTTGTATTCCACAAGTCATTCCGGTCCTGTTCATCCTGGCTTGTCTATCACTCTGGGGGCTGTACCTTGAATTTGGCTGTGCTGCACCTGAACCTGATCAGACATTAGCAGGGTATTTAAACTCAGCCTCGCCCTGTGATCAGGATCAAGTCTTTGATCCCGTTTGTTCCAGTGTTCCTGTTTCATCGCTTTGCATTATTGACCCCGGCTTCCTGACTCGTTGTTCCTGTCTTCTGGCATCCCTTGACTTCGGCTACTCCTCGTTGTTCCTGTCCTCTGGCATCCTTTGACCTCGGCTATCCCTCGACCATCCTGCTGGTTCAGTCCTTGCCTGTCCTGTGTATTGGTACTGCATCCTGCACAGCCCCCGTGCACAGACCCACAGGCCAGGTGAATTCTTACCTGACCACCTCGGCCTGTGGCTATCTGCAAGGGTGAGCATCATATCTGCGCTACAGACTCCCAATTCAGGTAAGATCCTGACACTCACACCATAGAAATTATTTAATAATGTTATCAGATTCATCAAGTTGTCAAGATATGAACTTATTAAAAGATCGGGTTTCATTAAGTACTCCTAATAGAAACCCCCCCCCCACTAAATATCAACCAAATGAGCCCTTTAGTAGATTCCTACTGCAGCGCAATAATAGGCTGTCCAAGGAATGCACCCTTCTGTTTATGTACAATATACCAAGCAGCTAAATGTATTTTACATTAGGATGCTCTTTATGAGACACTGCCTCTACCCTTCCATATTCTCAAACCCATTCTTCCAATATCGGTGCAGCTTCAGCTGCTTCTAAATTTTAGTACATATAATTAAAGAATAAGGACGATGGAAATCCTTGGGAAAATAGATACATAAAGCAACTCATGAAGAGTTAAGGAAGCATTCAAGAGTTTTTTTTCTAAAAGCATTCAAAAGTAATGGCGTTGTAAATGTAATAGTGTGCAATTTAAACCTCTTGCCCTTTTCATTTACAGGTCTACCCAAACGTCAGTTTTGGCACACCACAACTGACTTTGCATTATTATATCTTTTGTCCCTGACCACAATAATTGTGGGAGGGGTAACCCAGCTATTTAAACCCTGTCAATCCCCTTACCTGGGCTATTGTCTCTATTGATCCCAACCACAGCTCCTTTCTTTCTCATATCACTTACTTGGTGGGGCCTCTATATTTACAGGTCTATCCAAACATCTGTTTCAGCCCATCAGAGCTGACTTTGCATTATTACAACTTGTTTTGATTTTATATATATATATATATATATATATATATATATATATATATATATATATATATATATATATATATATATATATATATATATATATATATAAATTAAAAGGTAAGTCTGCCCAAAGGAGGAAAAAAAAATATGTTGCTTCTCAGTGCTAGAAAAGATAAAAAATGAAAATAAAGGGGCACTCAGATTTTCTTAGTGAATGAATCCAAGATAATCTTGATAAAGACCCGGTTAGCTTTGAAACATCAACTTATTTTTGACTAATGGGCTTTAACCGACCACAACATTGAAACTGCTCTTGTTAAATGATTTTTGAGTATATCTGGAGGTAAAGCATAATTTATTGCTCTATACAGCTGAAAATGGAAGAATTGCAGAACTCCTGTCATTTATACTTACCTTGAAAAACGTTGAAGAAGTGTTCATACTTCAGTCTATTTAATGTTACATTTCCAGAAATCTTTTAGCATCCAAATGGTGTAACTGTTGTGTGCTACTAGCTATGCAAACCTTAGTAGGACCACTTTGGTTGAATTTTGGTGCCACACCAAAAGGAGGTACATTATGCATCCTCTGCATGGAATGAAACATAATATGTGGGGTCATTCCACTGAGTAAATTCCTTTCTGCTCTCTTCACTGCAAGGAAAGCATGCAATAACCATGTACTCATAGGTGACCTGTGCTCACAATGCATGAATATCCAACATGGCTGCTCTAGTTGCCCGTCTGAGTGTTACCTGCTAGGAATGGATCAAAACATGCTGCAAGAAAAGTTTACATACATCACAGCACCGGAACACAACAGAGTTACTAGAAAACCTGGGGGGAAGAGGGGGATAATCTAGGAATGTAAGTAAATCTGACCTCTTGGACTGGTTGGCAAGCATGTAATGGCTATTCTTAGTTCCATGGTAAAGAGGCTTTGACTAGAGAAGGGTGGACTGGGTCCTGACTTTTTGTCTTTGATGTTGCAACCTGTCCTGTAATAATAGGATGACAACTTCCCATCAATTAATAGTGACATATGGAAGATTCCCATATTTTGACTGATGCACCAAAAACTAACATAACCTTGCTAAACTTATCTTGCCCAAAGCCAAGTAATTCACATAACTTTAAATGGATTCTATGTGCTAAATCTTATTTATTTATAAAATATTTTACCAGGAAAGATACATTGAGATTTCTCTCGTTTTCAAGTATGTCTTATATTGCATGTGCATTTGTTACTTGGCCATCACAACTATACAGCTGTTGAAATAGTTTAGTGACTTTTTAAACAAATAGTTTCCCCCCCCCTTCTTTATTTAAAATCAGTAGATCCTCATCTGCTAGTCTATCATTTCATCTTTAAAGTTCCCATTTTAGAGTCAGAGTGAAACCGTGATGATCTATGCAATCATTACTTCCAGACTATTAAGAGTTAGTATATTACAGCTCTAAAGAAAAAAACGAAAAAGCCCTGTACACTGTTTCTGCAAAATGAAATCCCTGTCAGTAGTTAATAGCCGTATTCTGCTCTTTACAACAACAATCTTTATATCAATATTAAACAATTTACCACATTTCCTTCTCTTGCCAGATAAGTTTATAATGATTGCAAAATCATAGCTACAGCGTATTTCACCACTGTCATGTTGCCAAACTCTACTGGACAATAGTTGTGGTAGGGCCAAAATACAAAAAATATTAACTTACAAAGCCTACAAAGGTTGATGGTTTAAAGTTTACCTTCTAATAGCATGCATTTCCAGATAGTGAAGGAAAATATATAAGGATCTTATTTATAGCCACTGCATTACTCGTTAAAGACTTAAAGTGGATGCCTGCTATCCAGGAGACAATCTATCCTAAGGGAAATGGCTAAGGATCCTGATCTATGCTGCAGAAAGCTGCAAAACATTCTATTATTTTCTTAAAAAACTATATAGAACTGAAAAAGGGAAAAACAATATGTCAAAACTATGCAGGCAAAACATATCAAATGAGCATAATTTGTGTTGGTGCCCAGTGTCTCTTTAAGAGCTGTTCACATCTTTTTGAAAGAAAATCTTCTCATCCCTGAAAATAAATGCTGAGCCTTTAAGTTTTACCTTACCCAATCATGTTTCTAGATCAGTCAAAAACACCTCTAAGAACATATTTGTTTAGGAAATCATATCAGCTAGCAAATTCTTCCTACAATTGTAGGGAAGAAAGTGAGAGCAAAGGCAATTACTTTCAATTATGTGCTAACGTGCAAGTCTATTATTCTAGAATTTCTGGCTACTATCTTGAGATGTGTATGCTCTGTTCATGGAGCCTCTCTTCTTGCCACTACTGTTCCTCGTGTGACATATCCTTTAAAATTGAGACTGTTTTCTAAGACATTAATACTATAGAAGAGTTTATGATGAATAAAGCATTGATCTGGAAGTTGACTAGTCATTCAATTTGCAATTTGATCATGTTAAAAATGCATAATTTGCAATTATGATCCAGTTACTACATACAGCTTTTCATTATGTTATCTTTTCTCTCCTTCCCTGTTAATGTATTTTAAATAATTTGCTCATTTTTAGGAGGCTGTTATTTGTTATATGAATTTATAGGCACCTGAAGTTTCACAAACCACACTGTGTTTAAGGTTATTGCCACATGAATATTCAAAAGTGAACTGGATTACCTGAAATATGAAAAACTCCATGACACAAGTAAACTGCAGACTGACATTGTAGGATTTTACAGGTATGTACAGCTTTCACCACAAGTTATTCAATAAATCAATACGAAGAGTGGGGGAAAACTTAGAAATGGAGAATTTCATGGATTAACAAAATCTTAAACAATCAAAGAGTAGGGTACAGTCAAATTGGTAATGAAAACTTTTATTGAAAATGATGAAGTAGGTCAGTTTTAAAAACTATGTATGAATCTTCAAACAAATTCTAATACTGTAACAGTTTAAAACAAACATTTAAAGTCAAACCTACAGATCAGAGAAACACATAGGACTATTTTTCATTTAAAATAAACCGTGTAGAAAACTAGTCTGAGCCAATACAATATAATTTTATAATAAGTGTTTTGAGAAACCTTTACAATGAATTGACTCTAAGTAAATGCTTTATGTATGAGATGATGCTTACAACAACATGCATTATACTGAAACATTTCTCTATTGGGAAGACAAGAAAAATTTAAAAAAAGACATCCCTCATGTTTAAATGTATTGTACTTTCACTTGTGCATAAGGGAGTGCGCAAATATTTAGAGCCACACTTGCATTTGAAAGCTTCAAACATATTGGCAAATACACGTGTACATCATGTGGTTCTGTGCAAAGTGCAATTTTGGGGCAAATTTCTGAAAGTGTTTAATCCTCAAAAATATTTAACAGATTTCCAAAGCAATTACTCCACTTTTAGAATTTTGCGCTAGATGTATTCTGCATTTCCGTTCATAGCAAAGCAATCCATTATGAGGCAACCAAATGCAGAGGAAATGCTACCTTGGGACTACATTACATAGTTATTTACTAAAGGTAGGATTCAAAGTAAATTCAAACATTAAGACCAGAAAAGCCAGATTGAAAGCAGAGCTGACTTAGATAATTATTCCATTTCAACTACTTTGGCCTTGAGTTTGAAATTCACTTTGAATTCTCACATTAGTGAATTAGCCAGTTTATCAGAAATGTCAGTGATAGTACAACATATTTAACAATGTGATTTCGGTCTTTTCATGTTAATTTCCCTTTAAATAAAAACAATATTACTACCCTCTAATACTAATCAGGTGTATACATAAAAACAAGAAAATAGATTTAGAAGTTAAAAATAGGTTTTAGCTTTCTATTTTGCTGTATCAAAAACACAACAATACCAAGACAGATTAAAGTAAATGTTTCATTTAACAATTCACTTTTTAATTATGAATAATGTTAAATTGATCAGTGTTCTTTCAAGTAAAATTCTATTGAAGGGCCTAAAAAAAAAAAACACAACACGTGCAGCTGTAGACTGCATCATTGTTATATTTTTTATGTCTATGCAGTAATACTTAAAAACTATTTTAAATAAAATTATGAAAACAACATGAACATGCATGCACTTTTGTAAAAATACTGCAATTGTGTACAGAACGCAAGTTTGCAGTGTACATATTTACCTATCACTTCGTCACATGCCTAAATGTACTAGTCAATTGCATATTAATTAAAAAATAAAATAAAAAGGAAATTAACACCATATACATGTAAACAGGACGCAGCAGAAACTGAATAAACTGAAAATTAATACTAAGAAATGGACAATCATGACATTTAAATAGTAGTAGCTTCAAAGATGCAATAGCATAAATGTGTAATTTTAATAAGCCCAATGAATCTTTAACCTTGCCACAAATTCTTTACGAATATGAAGTGGTCGAGTAGATGTGTTTCATCGTGCATGAAATGGACAGTATCTATTTTTAATCTTCCACTCTACAAAGTCATGCAGATCATTCCTCGCCCCCTTCCCTGTGGATATTGCACTTGTCATTAACATGAGTTGGCAAAATCGTGTTTTTTTTTTTTTTATCTAAATTGGATAATGCACCTTGTTAAAGACTATAGACATGTGATTCAATGAAAAGGAAAACAAAACAACAATAAATCTCAAATTAGTATCTGTCTATGTGAGAGCAAGCAATTTATATTAAGACAACTTTTATTATAGTAAGTTATTTTAACTTACTAAATTAAAAGTTGTCTTAATATAAATTGCTTGCTCTCACATAGACAGATACTAATTTGAGATTTATTGTTGTTTTGTTTTCCTTTTCATTGAATCAATCAGCTAGGGGTTACTCCCCTCCCCCCACCCCCCACCTTTCCTCTTACAAATCTCATTAGTGTCTGTCTCTATTTTTGAAATTAGAATCTTTTTTTAATAGGCATGAAATCTAATAAGTTTAATACAGAACCTATTTCATGGCTAAATGGTGTGCTGCCTACACACAATGTGGGAATTTACCAAATGTTGGCTATTTAATGATACTAGAAAAGTACTACAAATCATGCGTACTAATGGTTGAAAGATGTTGGATTCTGTTGAATACTGGACAAGGCGGTAGAAATGTATAACTGAAATCTGTTACAATAGCCAGCAGTTACTGTTCAGTCAATGCCTTGCGTGACATGCAAAATTCCACTATATTGATTAGATATTTCAGTGGTCTACAGACAAGGATCGATATCGACAAAGTCCATCACGTCTAATATAGATGGAATGAAGTTAATAAAATTATTTCCTTTAATGGATGGTTCTAATTTGAGAAGAAATACATGCTTTACATCTTTTGCCAACTTTGCATTGAACATTAATATTTTTCATATGTTCATAGGAGTATAGTTCCACCTAAAATAAAAACCATAAAAACAAAATGAAATCTAAGTGTGTTCAGTGCCACAGATGGATTCATTTCTGTTTCCTCAGAAGGATTCTAGGATTACAAGGTTTATCCAAAAAGTTGATCTGTGTAGTAACTTTAACATCAATACCTAAAAGCCTCCTGAGTAGCTGAGCCTACTATAATGATATGCATTGTAAAACAAGGTCTTATCACTACTGTTAAAGTTACTTTTCTTACCCCTCACATCCTAAAAGGCCATATGCTACATAGTGTTTTTTTTTTGTTTTTTTTTAAAGTTCGTAATTATAAATGGTGGAAATTGGTCTGTAACACAGAAGAACTTTCAAAATTGGCCTTCCAACTCTTATTGAAAACTAACCTTTTAGATGGTATGACTTTTACAATTAGTATTACTTTTGAAAGATTTGCAAATAATTTTAAAGACTAAACTTAATATTGCAGCGTGCAGTATCTACTCTGCAAATGAATCCTGTCAAAAAGGGGAGAAACAAAAAGCTATGGAACATAATGAAAAAAAATAAAAATAAAAATAAGAAACTACAGGAGAAACTACAAAAAGCATCACTGCACAACCACAGGTAATAATAGTCATGAAAGTACAAAAATGTCCCATTATCTATTAATACAATACTTGTAGTCTGATGAGAACTTCCTTTTAATATATCTTTGCCCTTAAATTTTTAGGGCTATGACTCAAATTATTTCTGTAAGGCACATCTTGGTAATGTCAAGGTCAAACAAAAAAGTTTTACAATCAGATGTTCATATTAAAATCATATTAAAATGAGGCAGTGCATATTACATTAACATGAATTTTACGTTAACAGGTATGCACATTTAAAAAATGTTAAGTTCAACCACTGCATTAAACATTTGACGGATACCAGTGCTTAAGTATCCCGATTCCAAAGAACATTTTATCTTCTTCACAGAAAACATTACACAAATTGCTGGCACGTCGTTCTGGATAATGTAACACTTAGAACATTGCTCTTAAACTTACGTACAATTTTCATAATGCTAAAGGTCTCTAATGAATCCACATCTGGATGGTTTAATACCACTACAGGCTGATTGTATGAGGGAATTTGTGTCGGTTGGTTAGATAAAGCAGGTAGGAGTCTTAGAGTTTTAGATCTTTGAAGTAATGTTCTTTTTGAAAAGGTCACAAGTCTTTTAGGAAGAGATTTACCCTTTGGCTTGATACTACTATTTAATTTTTTACAACCTTGCTTTCGGACTATTTTTGAGGATATTTTCTCTGGTGGACTGCTAATTGTAGACACTACTTGCAATTCTTGTCGGAGTTTAAAATTTTGATCAACCGTTTCCTCTTGTTTAGAGCTTTTAGTCACATCTATACTCGTCTTAAGTGCAGGAATTGTATTAGGGGCAAGTTTGTGGCCATGTTGCATCACACAAGTAAGAGGCTGCATAACAACATTTTTATTGCAAGATAGAAAAAGTGTCTGTGGTTTGGTACAAAAATTAGTTTCCTTTTTATTGTGTGCTTTTGATTTCTGAAATTTTTTCCTTTTATTTGGAGGTAATACAGAGCTTTGATTTTCAGGATTTTTGTTACCACTTTTGCCAAGAGGTGGGGATGTTTCAAGATTAGTGCATAGTTTTTCTCTCCCAGATTGATCCAAACATGCTTTTTCTGTTGACTCCCCTACCTCACTTTGACCAAATTTCTGAAGTGCATCTTTAGTTTTTTCCACATTGTAAATGGACGAAGTAGTAGCTGAACCAGACAAAAGTTCATTTTTGTTCTCCCCTCTCTCACTCGGAACATGGTTCTGAAGTTGGGCATCTTTTGTTTTTTTCATGTTGTAACTGAATGCAGTATTAGCTGAAGTAGACAAAAGTTCATTTTCGTCTTCCCCTATCGCACTTTGAACATATTTCTGAAGTTGGGCAACTTTTGGTTTTTCCACATTGTAACTGTATGCAGAAGTAACTAAAGTTGACAAGAGTTCATTCTCTTTCTCCCCGATCTTATGTTGAACACAGTTCTGAAGTTGTGCATCTTTTGTACTAGTAGCTAAAACAGACAACAGTTCATTTCCTTTCTCCCCTATCTCACTTGGAACATCGTTCCGAAGGTGGGCATCTTTTGTTTTTTCCACATTGTAACTAAATGCAGTAGTAGCTGAAGCAGACAAAAGTTCATTTTTGTTCTCCCCTATCGCACTTTGAACATATTTCTGAAGTTGGGCAACTTTTGGTTTTTCCACATTGTAACTGTATGCAGAAGTAGCTAAAGTAGACAAGAGTTCATTCTCTTTCTCCTCGATCTCATGTTGAACACAGTTCTGAAGTTGTGCATCTTTTGAAGTAGTAGCTAAAACAGACAAGCGTTCATTTCCTTTCTCCCCTATCTCACTTGGAACATCGTTCCGAAGTTGGGCATCTTTTGTTTCTTCCACATTGTAACTAAATGCAGTAGTAGCTGAAGCAGACAAAAGTTCATTTTTGTTCTCCCCTATCACACTTTGAACATATTTCTGAAGTTGGGCAACTTTTGGTTTTTCCACATTGTAACTGTATGCAGAAGTAGCTAAAGTAGACAAGAGTTCATTCTCTTTCTCCTCGATCTCATGTTGAACACAGTTCTGAAGTTGTGCAACTTTTGTAGTAGTAGCTAAAACAGACAAGCGTTCATTTCCTTTCTCCCCTATGTCACTTGGAACATAGTTCTGAAGTTCTGCATCCTTTGATTTTTCCACATTGTAACTGAATACATTAGTAGTTGAAGCAGACAGGAGTTTATTTTCATTATTCTCGGAGAACTGAGAAAAAGTAATTGGTTCAATACTGTTCTTAGGCGGTGTTATTCCTGGGTTGGTGACTGGACTACTTTCCCACTGTATGCCTTCTAAGATATTCTTTGACCCTGAGCTGAGAGAAAATACTGATGAAATAAATGGGCCTTCAAAAAATGTATTGGTATTCTCAATGTTTTGTTGGGGAAAAGATCCAGGCAAATTCTGTTTGTTCTCACTAATTTCAGCTTTACTTTGAAAAGTACTGTCAGTATGTAAAGTTGGTTCTGCAGTGGTGTTTAAATCGCTTATCGGAATTCTTTTATGAGATTGAATACTACTGCCATCTTGTAATAAGCACAGGGTTTGCTGTTCGACATGTTTATCCGGTGTCAACAAAACGTCTGCAGAATACACAGGTTTTTTGTCTTCAAAAGAGACTTCTTTTTCAGAGTAGCCCTCAGATAACCCAGAGCCTAACTCTTCATTACAATTTAAAATTAAGTGGCAAGTACTGCCCACAGATCTCACTTCCACCACCTGAGCAAAACAGTTAGGTGGTACCTGAAATGTTGAAGGTGCAACTACAGTTAAAGTCATCCAGGGGTACAACAGTCCTTCAGTTGGAGAAATCACCTCTACTTCCACTTGACTCTCACATGTTTCAGTGCTTGCATTTAATGTGATTGGGTAAGAGGGAACATTTTCTACATCACACGTTAAATCTATAATGTCTTCAGCTGTGTTTAATGTAGCATTTGAAGAAACCTCTATAATGCTGTTAGGCAACTGAGTTTGTATTATATTGACGGAGGTGTTTTTTGCATCATTTTCCACAATGCTTACAGAACACTGTATCTTGCCATCATTATGTATTCTTTTGATATGTTTTACAATATAGTCATTCCTAACAGCTCCATAGCCACAGTATTCACAGGTATAAGGAAATTTCCCAGTATGGGTCACTAAATGTCTTTGAAATTCTCCTTTCGTATAGCACACATAGTTACAATGTGAACAGGAAAACTTAATGTCTTTGTGAAGAGAGATGTGGTTGTTGTATTTAAGTGGATCCTTTGTTGAAAACCTACATTTTTCGCAATTGAACTTTGCTATCATTTGCATTTGGCTGCTATGATGCATCATATTTCTTGTTCAGAACAAACTCTTGATACGTCTGTTGGCAACAGTTTTATCAACAGACAAGCACAGGATGCAGCGTTTTGAATGCACGTTTTTCCCAAAACTGTTATTACACACTGAAGTGAGCATGAATTCCAATTGTTTAATTCAATCCAGGAGTAATAATTAAGTAACCATTAACAAATACAGTAAGGGGAGTATGCTAAAGAAAACGTATTACTTCTCCTTTAGGTGATTAATGAAAACTTCCAGTGCGCAAAGCTAGGGGGGAAAAAAGAAAAAAAAATTAGTACCTTGGACTTCAGGTCTAAGTACCCACCACACAAAACATGCACACAGGTGATACAACACCTGAACAAAAAAGGAGAAAAAAAAACCAAAAGATTTTACAGACCAGAGAAAATAGAGCTATTATTACACATTAAGGTCAAAGGCTATGTTATTGCTCAGGACCAGGTGGATTAAGCTTTTTTTTACCATGCATTTGTTTCACTGTTTTCAGTATTCTTGTTTATTGTACCCATAAATATTAATTTGAAAAACTGTTAAGGGATTTTTATTCCACCATACACCAGCCTTACCCAATATGAATGTTGAAAACAATAAATAAAGTACAATTGAATTGATAATGAGTTTACATCATTCATTATCACTTTTCCTTTACATTGTCAACTTTACTCATGGTCATGAACGATTAAAAATATATTAGGGCTCGATTTTGGATAAACTTTTCAAATGATCCAATTTTTTATTTTATTTTTAAACAAAAAAAACCATAACATAAAACATGTCTATATATATATATATATAATATAATATTCATAATATTAAATCAAAAAGTTTTTTGTTTTTTTAAAGTTAAATGATTTAAACAACATTTATTGGAGGTTTTAGTATGAATAAAATTAAAGTTAAAATAAATTGAACATGCAGGTTCATCTGTATGGAGATTGGGTCAGATGGTGGAAGGGAGAGGGGAAGTTATACTTTTTAGCAAACCATGCTTTAAGTCACTTTAGATCCTTATATAAGAGGGTAAAGATTAGAGACCACTGGTTTAGGACATTGGTGCCCAATCCAGTCCTCATGGACCACCAACATTCCAGGATTAATGTATTTCTCTTTTTTATTCAAATGGAGATACTGACAAAACCTGGACTCTCGGTGGTCCATGAAGACTGGGTTGGGAACCACTGGTCAAAAACACAATAGGGAAATGAGGCCAGCTCAGCTTGTTCCCTCTAACTCCACATTGCAGTAGTGGACTAATTGTTTTACAGAATGCAGCTCCAATGGTGAGAATTGGGGACTTACAGCATCCAAAACCCATCTTTACTGAGATAATGAGGAATGTCACTTCTGCTTTATCCATTCAATTCAGACAGCAGTTATAGGCTGTAAACTCTAGGCAAACATGCTCCCAGCACTCACACCATATCACTATTGTCCAAAACTGTATGAATAATTGTCCAAATCTGTATGAATGAGGAAACTAAATTATTATTTGGTGGCAGAAAAAAGGATTGGATGGCAAGAGACATTTTTTGTGAAAGTGCTCAAAAATATTGTAACGAAATGTGGAGGAAATACACCCAAACACTCATGGCAACATAATCAGTACAATAACCTGCAGTGGTTTCTAGCCAAATATGTTATGGTGTTAAACCATTATTTTTTTATATGAGTTGCACAGAATATAAATAAATCACACAAGGCTACAGCAGATTGAAGTACGGTATACAAAACAAACCTTTCATACATACAATTTATTTATTCCTAGAGTAGAAGTTACAAGCAGTGATTAGAGTTTGTGAGCTAGTGGTTTAGCTGTAGTTTAGTGGTTGTCCAGCAGTAGATTCAGGTAGGTCATTGTTAGTTGGTAGGTATAAACATACATTTACATACACACTAGATAGGAAACACTAAGACTATACAAACAACAAATTATACACATATAGTCACCAGAACAACTACAGCTTATTGTATTTGTTCTGGTGAGCATATTCACTACATTCAGGCTTTTCGTAGTAAACACTTGCTCTCAGAGAAAAGGCAGTATTTACATTACAGCCTAGAGATACCTCCACTGACCACTCCTCAGATAGCTGTAAGTGGTGCTTCCTGAGGCAGTGCTGCATAGTGTACAGCACTGACATTTAGTTTCTCCCCTCTCTGCATGGAGACACTGAACTTTCCTCATAGGGATGCATTGATTCAACGCATCTCTATGAGGAGATGTTGATTGGCCAGGGATGTTTTTGACTTGTGCTGGCTCTGCCCCTGATCTGCCTCTGCCAATCCAATGCTTTCCTATGAGAAAGCACTGTGATTAGCTCAGATCATAACTTGTGATGTCAGCCAAGCAGGCAGATCAGGGGCAGAGCCAGCAGCAGACTGAAGTAGAGGTAATATTTTACTATATTAAGGGGATAATTGTGGGTCAGGGGGCTAGATTATGTTTGTAACAATAACATCAGGAATATAGGTTTGAGTTCCTGTTTTCAAATATTTAATTAGAATATATAACACTACATCAAAATAATACAGGAAAATCAAAATAATACAAGAAAATAACACAACAAAACAAAAAAAACAAAAGAGAGAAAAAGAAAGCACAAGAAGAAAAAGAAAAAAAACAATATTTTTTTAAATAAATATATATAATATATATCAGGATTGTAGATCAAGACTAGAAATCAAAATTAAAGATCTAGATCTGAAACTTACTATTTTGACTGATAATGATATATTAGTACAGTACATAGTAAATTTAAAACTAGTAAGGGAAATTCAGTAATCTTCCAACCACTCCTAATCTATACCCAATTATGTATGAGTAGCTGTGCAGGGTGCAGATTCCCAATATGGGGAAGGTGCAACCTAGCACATCTGTCTCGTTCTACAGGGTTACATAATTATCCACTGCATGAAAGGGTACTGTAGTGGACCCTGGGTAACCCGACCGGTTACCTCCACTAATTCCTTTCCTCAGCCACTGTGGAGCCATCAAATAATACAGACCTCCATTCCCCCCAGTAACTGGACGGGAGACAGCTCTGGGAATACAACACTGACAATGCTTTATTGGTACAGCCTTAATTTATACACAGACCCCCGCAGGCGGTATCCATCCTATTCAGCAGAAGTCCCTCAGGCTTAAGAGGGATGGGGTGCAGATGGTCATCTACCGCTCTTGGAGATACAAACAGTAAAACAATTACATACAGTAATATACATCACATACAATGGGGAACTTTGGGGGACTCCCGGCCCCGGGAAGGAAATGGGGCTCAAACATAAAACATCCCTGGATAGCCCTGGGTCCCAGCAAGGATCCCTGCAAATAGCTGGGCTATCGGCTTGGGGCTCTGTACATACCAGAAATTAGTTCCACAGAATTGCATGGGTTAGGCCGGTAAATTCAAACTTCATGCCTAAACCAAGCAGCGACCAATCAGGAGACAGGCACGAAATATTTTGCAAAAATCGGTGCTCAGGGAGGGGAGGCGTTCTGACGGCCAATAAGGAGAAAGGGCGCAAAACCCGTTTGAATGGTTGTCCTTCTATTGGCCGTCAGCCGCTGTCTGCCCTGCTGACAGTCTGGCTGCAACCAGGAGGCTACTGGTTCTCCTCCGACTAGTGATTATGATTCCTTTAGGAGCAGGTAGAGTGACCCCTGCAGGAAAAGGGATCTAGTCTCTTTGTCTCCTAGGCACAGACATCCTGCCAAAATAGCCAATCCCCAAAAGTATCCCCACTAACCTCAGCACATTTCCCCCGATCAATCGGTCTCCGTTCGTAAGGTTCCTGTGCGAACACCATGCAAAGGAAGTGCTTATCTTGGGATATGAATGTTCCCCCTGGTTGACGTTCATCTATACGAAATGGCGGGCACCCAGGGGAAGCAATTACTTCCCTTGTGTATTGGCACTTAGGATACTGGTGTGAACGCTCTAATTGATTGGTGTAATCATTCTAATGGGGTTACCTCAAATAATAATCTTGCTGACTAAAAGGTCAAGTATAAATTAAGCTTCACTAAGTGATTTAAAGTTTACACGCACAAATTCAGTTAGATAAGCGTGTTTAAGCAACATCTCTATTTTAGGGATTTGTAAAATGTAGCTCTTAGAAGGAAATTTTGAATGCGAAGTGGAGGAGGATTCCCACTCTCTGGATATTTTATTTGGTCTCTAGAGATGATCTTTAGTCTGTTGGTATATAGAAGGTAGCTGAATACTCCATAGGTCAAATAATTTCTTTCCTTCTTGTAGCGATGAGATCACCCAAGATGCACCATTATGTGAGATTATCAGTTTAACTGGGAACCCCCAGCGGTAAACAAGATTATTGGTTTAATATGTTACAATAAAATGCATGTATCTCCTTTTTCTTGATCTCCTTTATGTTTCCCTTTATTTTGCCCCTAGGAGACAAAATTTTTCTATTGTTTCCAATTTGTGGGAATCAATGTCCACAATCCAAGGAATAAATGTGTTATATTTTTTGTTTGTTTTTTGTTATCTATATTAGGTTACTTACATTTTGATTTAGTATTTTTTTTTATTGTTTTTCATTTTTTCTTATTTTTTTTCTTTTCTTGATGCTGCTGATCATATTTTTGGGATAAAAAAAAAAAAAAAAAAGATATACAGATCGGGTGTAGCTTAACTAATATTAATAGAAAAGCCCAATCCAGAGAGGAGTGTTGGAGGCATAACTGGTTTGATACCTGCCATAAACATTTTTTCTTATCTTGTCTCACCAGCCATAGACAGTGGAAATATGTGTGAAGCTTTAAACCTAGGTGTCAATAGGAGGAAATCTTGATAGATCAAATTGTAAGAGAAGCTATATATTTATTTTTTACTCTTTTTTTTTTTTTTTTTTTGGAGTGCATAATATAACAAAATAACAAAAGTTTGTATGGACATTTCACGGGTTTAGACATGACAATAATAAAATCCGAAGGTAACATGGAATGTCAAGAGATTACTGCACTTTTTATATTATATGCGAAGAGGCTTCAAAAGACAAGCTAAAAAGATGTTTCAGATGTATGAGCTAAATCATTAAGTTATAACAGCACATCATTAGTGGTAACAAGCAAAATAGATGCGTTGATCCAAAAGAAAGCAAAAAAAAAAGTCTGAAGCGCTTCCAATTTTGCAACAAACTAAAAAAAAAAAATTTCCTTCTTGACCTCAATATAGCAGTCAGATGTCTTCTTGGATCAAGCAGCTATTATCCCACTAATTAGAAATTATATCCCTGTATGTTATGTTTTTGCAAGTATTTATCCAATTGCAGTTTAAACATCTGTATGGACTGATAAAATCACCTCTTCAGGCAGATAATTTCATATCCTTATTGTTCTTACTGTGTAAAAAAAAAATAAATATATATATTATTTTCTTTGCCTTAGATGAAATCGCCTTTCTTTCAGCATAAATGTGTAACCTCGTCTCCATTGCTAAGCAGAAATCAAAAAGGATGATAGATCTTAAAATGTAACTTCTAGTACTTGAGAAAGCTCATAAGGCTTTCTCCGATACATGACTGGTTCAACTAAAAAAAGTAAGGTCTGACAATAATTTGCAGCTTGAAAAGACTGAATATTGTATGAGACGACAAAGCTCAATATTACTCTAGTGGAAATAAAGCAGGCAGTTTGTTAGCTCGCAGGTTGGGGAAAATCCAAAATCTCCAATCTTAAAAGTTCCCCAAAAACACACCAGCCATTAAAGCCAAAACATCAAACTTCTTTCACCTAATAAAGTTACCCTTCTCTTACTCAACTCCAGACCCAAACATTACAGGATTTTAAACACAGAAGAAATCTTCAAGGCAATTAAAGCAATGCCACAGGGAAGGTTAACTGGGCCTGATGGATTCACTTCTCTCTATTATAAACAGCATCTTCATATTATACAGCCTTTTCTTTTTAATTCTTGTATGTTTAATGGTACAATGCCAAAAGAAATGTTGACCACCGATATTGAAGCTTTGCCAAAGCCTGGGAAGCCTCCAAACCAATGTTCCAACTTACGACCTATATCTCTGTTAAGCCATGATTATAAAATTTATGCAAAAATTTTGGTAACTTGCTTATCCGCTTTATTTCCAATATTAATTTAAAAAAACCAAAAACGATCAGATGGGATTTATAGAGGGGCATCAAGCTTCAGATGCCACTTGTAAAATCATAAATATTATTTCGGTGGCTGGGAATTCTAGGGCTGAATGCTCTCTCGTGTCACTTGACGCAGAGAAGGCATTCGATCGTCTGCATCGGGGCTTCCTGTTTCAAGCTTTGGAAAAAATGGGGCTGCCATTTAGATTCATAAAATCTGTTATGGCTTTATATTCTAACCCCAGCAGTTGTACTTCTCTCTGGTTCAATGTCACAATACTTCACAATTTGTAATGGTAATAGACAGTGGTGGCCTCTGTCTCCCCAGTTGTATATTCTGGCTTTAGAGCCTTTGGTATATAGAATTAGAATGTATATAGCCATTAATGGAATCTCAATGCCAAATTCCATCTCGCAAAAGTTTGTTCTTTTTGCGGATGACATTCTCATAGGCCTAACTAATCTTAGTCTTTACCTTATCTTAAGGAAGCGCTTATTTCTTATGGGAAGGTCTCATATCAAAGTGAATTTGAAAAATAAAAATAAAAAAATCACAAGCTCTACCTATTAATATAACAAAATCTCAATTATCTCATTTCAAAATGACATGAATTGATTGAAAGTTGACATATATTCAGTACCTGGGGATAAAATTGTATACAGACTTGGCTTTGTTACCAATTCTAAATTTGAAATATGTATGAGAGCAGGTCAGAGGAGACATGGAAAGGTGAGGAAAATTGAACTATCTTGGTTTGGTCGCAATGTCTCATTTAAAATGATGGCCCTCCCAAGGTTTTTGTACCTCTTTAGAACCATTCCCCTTCCCCCCCCCCCTTTTTTTTTAAAGATATCCAGTCATACATAATCAAATGTATACATGCTCATAAAAAATTGAGAGAGTTTCTTAAACTATGTTATATAGATCTAGACAAAAAGGAGGGATGGGGGTTCCAAATCAAATGCATTATTGTACAGCTTCTTCTACATCACAAACATGTTGTATTGTTCAAAACCAGAATCGGTGTCATGGGTTGATATAGAAGATGCTTGTCTGAAAAGGGGGAGGGTATCCTGGTTCTTATGGTCAATATCCAAGCCAACTTAATTTCTGGTTTTATTGCAGACTACTAGTTAAAGTTACAAAACAGGGATTAATTCGCGAAGAAAGATACTTCAAACAATCTTGCGATATGCTCCATTAGAGACTCTAGAAACAATTATTCCTGATTTAGATATTTCAGGCTGGGGGATGGCTGGTGTGGAAACCATTGATTATATGCTAAGAGGAGACATCATATTGCCATTTTCTTCACTACAATCACAATATAATATTTTCCCTTGTGACTTCTATAAATATTTTAAGATCCGGCACTGTCTGGTGTCTTTAACGTTATTTAGAGGATCAGCATTAGATACCGTTTTCACCAACTTATTAAAAAATGTGCCTAAAGGAGGTAAATCCATTTCGATATGTTACCAATCCCTATTATCCTCATTATATTCAGAGAAACTTCCCTTTAAATCAAGGTGGGAAAAGGAGTTAAGCTGTTCAATTTCGGACGAAGATTGGACATCCCTGTCAAGATTCACCGCAAAATCTCAAGATGTACAAACCATATAGAACTATCATATAAACTGATTACTAGATGGTACTTAACCCCGGTCAGATTACAGCAAATGTACCCAAGTGTCTCCAATCGTTATTGGCGAGATTGTGGGGAGACTGGCTCACTATCACATATCTGGTGGGATAGCAAAAAATTTTTTCTTGGTTATGGGAAAAATTATATGATCTTATTGAATCTAATCTTCAGGTTTGCATTCCTTTTTCTTTAGAGGTAGCACTATTAACAATTATTAACAATTCCCGCGCAAAGTAAAACCAGACATTTTTACTTCCCGTAAATTATTTTCTTCTTAATATGGTGGCAGTACCTGTGGGTTGTGCCTTCTTAATTGGGACAAGCATCTACAAGATAGGAGTTAATTAAAAGTCCCATAAAGGGCTTCACCCGGCAAACCCACCTCAGTTGTAGCAAGAAAACACACCACACAAGTCAAATACAACAAGTAAATTTTTAATTCAGACAGTGGGAGTATTGTACTGCCACCATATTAAGAAAAAAAAAGAATTTACAGCAAGTAAAAATTTCATTTTTTTCTGGCATATGGTGGCAGTACCTGTGGGATATAGCAAGATTCCCATTGGGTGGGCATTACGCCACAACTGCTTGAAGCACCTTACACCCAAATGAAGCTTCAGATGATGAGGATACATCTAGCCTGCAATGCCTGATGAAGGTGTGAAATGACGACCAAGAAGCCGCCTTGCAAATTTCTTTGGGCAAAGCAAGAGCCTTTTCTGCCCATGATGTGGACATTGCTCTTGTGGAATGTGCTTTAAGAGAAGTAGGTATAGGAAGGTTACTGGAAGCATACGCCATCTTGATTGTATTAATCAACCGAGAGATAGAATTACGAGAGGCTCTTTTCCCTTTAAATTTTCCTTGGAAATTGACAAACGGGTGATCAGATTTTCTATTATCGGCATTTCTTGAAAGGTAGATCTGTAGAGCTCTTCTAACATCCAATGTATGCCATTTTAGTTCCTGCGGCGAGGTGGCATTATTGCAGGAGGAAGGTAAAATGATGGGCTGATTAATAGCACTAGAAGCGATAACCGTCAGAAGGAATGAAGGCTTAGGATGGAGCACTACCTTATCTTGATGGAATATAATGCATTTGTCCGATGAAGACAGAGCCTGAAGTTCACCTACTGTTTTGGCAGAGGTGATGGCCACCAAGAAAGCAGTCTTGAGTGTTCGATTCTTCAATGGGACCTTCTCCAAAGGTTCAAAAGGAGGTTCACAGAGCGCTTGCAGGACTGAAGAAAGATCCAAGGAGGGAAAATATGACTTCCTGGGTGGTCTAAGAAGCCTTACGGCTTTGAAGAATCTCCTAATTAGATCATGCAATGCTAAATCCTTCACTAGAAAAAAAAACTCAAGTTGGACTTTCAAAGTGGAAACACTCAAACCTTTGTGTAGCCCATCCTGAAGGAAGTGTAAAATAGAATCAACCGAAGGATGTACTTGGAAGACATTGATGTTTCTTACACCAATGTAGAAATTTCACCCAAATTCTCATGTACAACTTTGAGGTGGAACGTCTTGTAGATTGAAGGAGTAATTTGACCCTGTCTTCCTGAAGACCCTGATGACAAAGGATTAGCCTTGCCATAGGCATGCCGTCAATCTGAACATCTGTAGAATTTCCAAAGGTAACTCCCTGTTTTCTATCAGAGCTTTTGAGATTGGAAGTTCCCAGTACATGGAAGCCGCCATCTTCAAGTCCGAAAACCAGCTCCTGTTTGGCCAATGCGGAATGACTGCTAGAACCACTGCCCTGTCTGTTCTTATCGTCTGAAGAATTCTTGGGATCAGCTTTATTGGAGGAAAGATGTACGCTAGGGAGAAAACCCATTGGAGCGATGGACCGTCTATCCATTGAGGATGATCTGTCCTGAACAGGGAGACAAATTTGAGAACCTTGCTGTTCTCTCTTTTTGCCATAAGGTCTACGACGGGAATTCCAAATCTCTTTATGAGAATGTCGAATATCCTTGGGTTTAGAGACCATTCTTTCTGATCCCATTTCCCTCTGCCAAGGTCGTTGGCAATGACATTGTCGATGCCCTTTATGTGGATCACAGAGATGTCTTCTAAGTGAACCTGAGCCCAGCACATAATGTCGGCGCATAGCTGAAACAGACTTTACACTCTGGTGCCACCTTGTCTGTTGATGTAAGAGATGACGGTGTTGTAGTATTCTTACGGGCCTCTTTTCTACCAAAGATCTGAATCGGTGAAGGGCGTTAATAACTGCCTTCAATTCTCTGTAATTTGTTGACCTGTTTTTGTCTTCTGTGGACCAAGTACCTTAGAGGAGCGCCCCAGCCTGAGTTTGACGCATCTGTGGTGACGACCACCCATTCTTTCGGTCTGAAGGTCAGACCTGTTGAAAGGAAACTAAGTTTTCCACCAGTTAAACCAAGCTTTCACCTGAGAAGATATCTGGAGATACATATCTAAGTCTTCCTCTCTTTTTGACCAAGAAGAGAGGATTTCCCACTGAAGAGGCAATATTTCTGATTTTGCCCATTTGACTGCGGGAATTGATAAGGTTAGATATCCCAGAACACTCATTGCCTGTCTTATAGAGTAATAATCTCTTTTCTGTAAATTCAACACTTTTTTCTGGATTGTCTTTCTTTTGTTTGTAGTTGTCACAGGTGACGGTACAGAAACCGGGACCCCTGAATGCCTGCTGATGATGATCGGAATCAACCTTGTGGAAATGAAACAATCAGGGCCTGGTGCAGGGTAACCACATGCCCCCTGGTGTTGAGTATCAGGGTTTGTGCGGCCACATACCAGGGCCCTGATGAAGATTCTGTGGATCCCAGGAACTAGTAGAAAATATGCAGACCTCCGTGATCTGGATAGGGAGGCTCTGCAGCAGGTATGTATCCAGTACTAGAAACAAGGCAAGACTAGAACAGGCACCAAACAAGAAAACAAGACAAAACTGGTAGAACCCAGAACCAGAGAAGGATAGAAAGCAAAACCCAAAACATGTACACAAGACATGATGGAAACAAGAACAAGACAGGACAGGACTGTACATGGACAGGGAATACAAAATAAAACAAGACCAGAGACAAAACAAGAGGAGACAAAACCAAGTACTATATATGTAAAACATTGGAGATTTAGACATACATAAATGGCCAAGATGTATGCAGCCCACCAACTGCGGCAAAGTACTCCAATAAAGGTGAGAAACTAACTGCCTAGATATGCATGACTAAATAAACAATAATAAAACACAAACAGCATTTACCTGCAAGAAAAGGGCATATGACTTGTAGCAACTGCCTGCAGAAAACAACTGAAACAAAAGGATTAATGGAAAAGGAACGGGTGTGGCAAAATAAAGCAAACATTTAAAGTAATCCACGAGACTGGGAATTCCAGGAACGGAATACAGGAATGAACCCAGAAAACCCAGCATAAAGAAAACCAGACATGGAATAGAAAACCAGAAGAAAAAAAACAAAAAAAAAAACAAAACAAGAATTGTAAAAAGAGTACTGGATACCAGAAGCCATAGCAAGAAATGATCCGCAGCAGGAACAGGATGTGACAGTCAGATGTAGAGAGAACGTTCTTGAGCATATTTCGAAAACCCAGTAATTCTATTTTTCTTGAAGGAAGTAGAATTGACTTCTTTAACCCCTTAAGGACCAAACTTCTGGAATAAAAGGGAATCATGACATGTCACACGTCATGTGTCGTTAAGGGGTTAAAGGACCACTATAGTGCAAAGAAAACAAACTCGTTAGAAGCGCGGAAGCGCCTCTAGCAGCTGTCAATAAGACAGCCACTAGAGGCTGGATTAACCCATATGTAAACATAGCGGTTTCTCTGAAACTGCTATGTTTACAGCAGGCTGGGTTAACCCTACATGGACCTGGCACCCAGACCACTTCATTAAGCTGAAGTGGTCTGGGTGCCTATAGTGGTCCTTTAAGTTTAGTATCCAATTTTTCCAAAGACATTGCTGCACACTGATTACACACTTTATTCCTAGTGCCAATCGGTAGTGGGGGTGGAACAATCATTGCAAACTAAATGTTTGGCTTTGGATGAGGCCTTCCTAGTTGCAGGAGTAGGCATGTCTTTATCCATTTGCTGAAGGCTAGACATATCTTAAACATAACATCAATATACCTTTAAGACTCTAAACCGTTTAACAGAAAGCAAAGCTTTTCAAAGTAAAGATTTTTTTTTAATCTTACCTCAAAAACCTCTGAGCCGTGTGGGGGACTGGTGACATGGAGAATCCTTTCTGACCAGCATCCAACTGCCAGAGGGAAACCGCACAGCATTAATACGCCCATGGATTCAAATCCGGCACTATTTCCTAGAAGTTCCGGTTCACGGGTGCAGCGGCTTACCAGGAACTTTGGTGGAATGCAACACCACCCAGGCGTGCGTTCCACCACTGTGCGCAGGCGCACAGCCTGTAGCGTCATGAAGGCGTCCCCTGGCCTGCCCATAGTCACAAAGCCGGAACATACTCAGCACAACCTGAAAGGGCTCCGGGACCTCCATGGACAGAGCCATGCCGCTCAGCCTACCTCCTGGGCGGCTATCAGGCTTCCTCCCCCAGACATCAACCAGTGTGCCTCACCTCAAGTAGAAGCTTGATCCGTCCCATGCTGGGACAAGGAAGAACGGAGGTGGGTTTGCCGGGGGAACACAAGCAACTTCTGAGATGTTTGTCATGTCAGATCTCCAGTTTTTGTTCTAAAGCCAAAGTGAAGCAATAATTTTTTATGAAACGCCTTAGTTCTGCGTTATCCAAGTCGATATTAGATCACAGATGTAGAGCAAGAAAAGGCAGCATTTACATTGAAAAGGCTACAGGGACAGGCTATAGGCACCAGAACAACTACATCAATCTATAGTGGTTCTGGTAACTATAGTGTCCATTTAAATAAAATAAAAAAAATGGCTCCTAACTTTTTAGCTGGCTCCTAGATTCCAAACAAACAAAAAAAACATTGCATGAATATATAATATTAGGGTCACCTTGCTAACTGGAAGTCGTACACCCGATAACCTTGGTCGCTCGACCACCTTCACCTGGATAGTGAAACTATGAAACAATTTGCGGCACTCTGTTCAGACAGCTAGCTGGAGAAGTAATTAAAAGCACAAAGAGACAGGGTTCTGGTGCAATTTAAGAGTTCTGATTATTTAGCAAAAAGTCATGGGTTTTAAAGACATTTCATTCAATATATTCCAATCAGTGGTACAAAACAAAGTATTTAATTGACTAGTTTATTATTGGTCTTTCAAAGCTCCATGACTTAGAGAAAGGTGTTGGTTGACTTGCTGTGTAACACTTAACCCTTTGTATGCTGTCTTTTATGAAGATTATTAGTTTTAAAACATCTTTTTAAACATCTATTTTTTTTTAGTTATCAACTTAACCCCATAATGCCGTTACAGCGTTCAATGCCATCCACAATAAAATGGACTAGAGTCGTTGTGGTGGCACGGAGTGCTATAACGGCTTTCAGCTGCAGGATGTCCGCGCTACTTACCAACGTGGCGATCCGCTCTCACAGGGCGATCACATCGTCCTAATAGCTGCCCATAGAGCTGCCTGCAGGGGGGACTGTCTGGGCTCAAACGTTTGCATACCCTGGCAGAAATTGTGAAATTTTGGCATTGATTTTGGAAATATGACTGATCATGCATAAATAAATGTATTTAATTGAAGGATAGTGATCATATGAAGCCATTTATCTTTACATAGTTGGTTGGCTCCTTTTTATATCATAACAGAAATAACACGAATGGCCCTGATCAAAAGTTTACATACCCTTGAATGGCCTAGGTTACAGACACACAAGGTTAAAATGGCAATTACAGGTCAATTTCCCACACCTGTGGCTTTTTAAATTGTAATTAGTGTGTGTATAAATACTGCTGCCCATGCCATGTGTTCCCTATTAAGGGTTAATAAATGTATAGGGGTGTATATAAAAACAATACCCCCTTCTGTTTCAGTAGAGATGTATTTGCCAGAAGCTAAAGGAAGTAAGGTGAATGGTTAGAGTTAGGACCCACCTAGGTGGGTCTGCCTTGACGTTGGCAGGTGGACTTACCCGCTCATGGCCATTGGAGGTAACTAAAAACCTCAATTTGTTTAAAAATACATAGGGATTAAGGACAGAGCGCAGGTAACTTGTTTTTCTTTGGTTTTTACTATATATTGGGGCTGATGTGTACTGTAGTCATTGCTGCCGCCCAGTAGTGATGGGAGTGAGCACAGGACTTTTCTTTTTGCATTTGTATCTACTTTTTGTATCACACAGCTTTGTTACAATGCTGCCGCTTATCCCATGTGTTCCCTATTAAGGGTTAACAAATGTATAGGGGTGTATACTAAAAATTACCCCCTTCTGTCTCAGTATAGATGTCTTTGCCAGAAGCTCAAAGAAACAAGGTGAATGGTTAAAGTTAGGACCCACCTAGGTGGGTCTGCCTTGACGTTGGCAGGTGGGCTTACCCTCTCATGGCCATTGGAGGTAACTAAAAACCTTCATTTGTTTAAAAATACATAGGGATTAAGGAGAGCGCAGGTAACTTGTTTTTCTTTGACTATTTATACACAGAATATAGTAAAAACCAATGAGTTTGTTAGTTCTCATGTGGATGCACTGACCAGGCTAGATACGGAGCCATAGGGAGCAGAAAAGAACTGTCAAAAGGCCTGCGTAACAGGTAATAGAACTTTATAAAGATGGATGAGGATATAAAAAGATATTCAAAACCTTGAAAATGCCAGTAATAACTGTTCTATCACTTGTTAAGAAGTGGAGAATTCAGGGATCTCTTGATACCAAGCCAAGGTCAGGTAGCTCAAGAAAGATTTTAGCCACAACTGCCAGAAGAATTTTTGAGGATACAAAAAAAAAAAACAAAAACCCACAGGTAACCTAAGGAGAAATACAGGAAAAAAAAAAAAAAAAAAAGATGGTGCGGTAGTTCCAAGGAGCACAATACAACGATACTTGAACAAAAATGAGCTGCATGGTAGAGTTGCCAGAAAGAAGCCTTTACTGCGCTAATGCCACAAAAAATTCCAGATACAATATGCCCGACAACACCTTGACATGCCTTACAGCTTCTGACGAGACCAAAATAGAGCGTTATGGTCAAACCCATAAGCGCTATGTTTGGAGAGGGGTCAACAAAGTGAAAAGAATACCATCCCCACTGTGAAGCATGGTGGTGGCTCACTGATGTTTTGGGGGTTTGTGAGTTCTAAAGGCATGGGAAATCTTGTGAAAATTGATGGCAAGCTGAATGCAGCCTGATATCAGTAAATACTGGCAGGCAATTTGCATTCTTCTGCATGAAGGCTGCGCATGTGATGCTCTTGAACTTTCAAGCATGACAATGACCATAAGCACAAGGCCAAGTTGAACCTCCAATGGTTACAGCAGAAAAAGGTGAAGGTTCTTGAGTGGCCATCACAGTCTCCTGACCTAAATATCATTGCATCACTCTGGGGAGATCTCAAACGTGCGGTTCATGCAAGACGAAAAAATACATTTCATTACCTGGAAGCATTTTGTCAAGACGAATGGGCAGCTATACCACTGGCAAGAATAAAGGATCTCATAGACAACTATTACAAAAGACTGCATGCTGTCATTGATTCAAAAAAGGGTATAACACAGTATTAAGAACTAAGGGTATGCAGACTTTTAAACATGGGTAATTTCATTTTTTTCTTTTCTTCCATGTTTTGTTTTATGAGTGCACCTTTCTGTTATAACCTACAGTTGAATATGAATCCAACAAGAAATAAAAGAAATGTGTTTTGCCTGCTCACTCATGTTTTCTCTAACCCCTTAACGACGGAGCCAAATGTACACGTTGTGAACAAAACAAAATGTAAACAAAACCTGGCATTTGCGCTACATGTCGGTCCAACCGTAATTCACCTCTTATTAAATGCACCCACCCTTATTATATATCATTTTATTCAGGGGAAACAGGCTTTCATTTAATATCAAATATTTAGCTATGAAACATAATTTAATATAAAAAAAAGGGAGAAAAGATTTTTTTAAATTTTTTTAGTTCTACATGACATTTTAACTGTCAATGTCATAATACTGTTTGCTTTTACTGCAATAAAATACACATATTTGTATTCAGCAAAGTCTCCCGAGTAGAACAGTACCCCCCATGTACAGGTTTTATGGTGTCTTAGAAAGTTATAGGGTTAAATATAGTGCTAGCAAATTAAATTCCCTTTACTTTCGGCATGGGTTGTCAGGCAGATCCCGCTAATTGTAATTAATTAAGATACCTAATTATGTAAAAATGTTACATAAATATATATGTAGAATTAGTATATGTGTGTGTATACATGATATATATATCATTTTTTTAAAATATTTTTATTTATATATAGGTATATATTATTTCGTTCTATGTGTATTTTGATATAAATATATATATTAATATCACAATACAGTTAGAACGAAATAACACATCTATATATTTATTTTTAATTATTTTTTAAATTTAATTTTTTAACGTATTTACTTGTAATTTGATATTAATATATAAATAGTAAAATACACCTAGACAGTATATGTATACACATATACATACACACATACATATACTGTCTAGGTGTATTTTACCATTAATAAATATAAATATATATATATATATATATATATATATATATATATATCAAATTACACGTAGACTGATACTGATTAAATATATGTAATTATTGTTCTATAAATTACACGCAGACTGATACTGATTAAATATATGTAATTATTGTTCTATATATTATATATATATATATATATATATATATATATATAATATAAAACAAAATATGTAAATACGTTAAAAAATAAAATTAAAAATAATTAAATATATAGATGTGTGTTATTTCATTCTAACTGTATTGTGATATTAATATATATTTATATCAAAATACACGTAGAACAAAATATATTATCTACTTTACTTACTACTTTATACACACACACTATATATATATATATATATATATAATCTAAGTATATCATTTTTTTTATTTTTTTTTTACACTTTTAAACTTTAATTTTATTTAACTTTATTTCCAGCCAGCAGAGGGACCACCTGTCATTACAGGCAGCCCCCCTGCTGGCAATGTTGCAGCCAGCTATACCGGCCATGTGATTGTGAGGTCCTCGCAAGGACCTCATTCTCACATGGCCGGGGGGGCTGCTGGAGTGAAGATGTGCTGGGGGGGGGGCTCCCTGGGAGTCCCCCCAACCGCGATCGCCGGCGTGGGACCACCAGCGACCGGGTAAGTAAAGAAAGACCGGAGGGCGTACTATTAGAGCCGCCTAAAATAGGGCGTAATAGTACGCCCTCCGGTCTTAAGGACTGAGCCAAATGTACAAGTTGTGATCAACACAAAACGTAAACAAAACCTTGAATTTGCGCTATGTACGTAATTCACCTCTTTCATATTATGTGCACCCACACTTATTATATATCATTTTATTCAGGGGGAACAGGGCTTTCATTTAACATCAACTATTTAGGTATGAAACATAACTTAATATTAATAAAATATTTTTAAAAATGCGGGAAACAAAAAATGTTTTAGTTCTGCATGACATTTTAACTGTGCATTTCAAAATAATTGCTTTTACTGCTATAAAATACACATATTTGTATTCAGTGATGTCTCACGTGTAAAACAGTACACCCTATGTACAGGTTTTACGGTGTTTTGGGAAGTTACAGGGTCAAATATAGCATGTTACATTTTTCAGTTTTTTCAGATTGAAATGTCAGATTGGTTATGTTGCCTTTGAGACCGTATTGTAACCCAGGAATGAAAATTACCCCCATGATGGCATACCATTTGCAATAGTAGACAACCCAATGTATTGAAAATGGGCTATGTCCAGTATTTTTTAGTAGCCACATAGTCACAAACACTGGCCAAATTTAGTGTTAATATTTGTTTGTGTGTGAAAAATGCAAAAAATTTTATTTGAACACCAATTTTGGCCAGTGTTAGTGACTATGTGGCTACTAAAAAAGACTGGAATTATCCATTTTGTAATATCTTGGGTTGTCTACTATTGCAAATGGTATGTCATCATGGGGGTAATTTTCTTTCCTGGGCTACTATACGGTCTCAAAGGCAACGTAACCAATCTGAATTTCAATGTAAAAAAACAAACGCAAGCCTTATATATTTGACGTTGTAACTTTTGAAAACACCATAAAACCTGCACATGAGGGGTACTGTTATACTCGGGAGGCTTCGCAGAACACAAAT